CAGCGAGCTCGAGGGCCGTCCCACCCAGCAGCGACTTGCCTTCTCCATCGGCGGACGGCCCTGCCTTCGCCAGTGGCGAACCCGGCGCTGGAGGCATGTGTCCTGGCATCGCGGACAGCGAGGCGTGCACAGCCGGGGATACGCGTGCTGGCACAGCCGTCTCGCCGCCGTTGGCCTGGTCGTCGCCATTCGCCAAGTCGCTCGACGACACGCTCCCGACACTTGGCGACCGCTTGGGAGAGCACACAGCCTTCACCACCCCGTTCGCCTGCATGGGCCCCGTAAAGACTTGTTGACTTGGGAAAGAATTCTTAAGATACAAGCCTCTCTCACAGCACACTGGCAAAGAAAAAACCTCGCGGCGTTCTCGAAGGAGAGAGCTATCTCGGTGGGCGACGGCTAGCGCATCACACTCCTCTCCTTAAAATCCCTGTGTGGTGGCGGCGTGCCGTCCTCCCATCCCTCCCTTGGGTTGTCTGTTTTCTTTCTTTCTTTCTTTAGAGAGCTATCTCGAACACCTTTCGTCTTTCCTCCTTTATTTTCTCCTTTTCCTCTCCCTAAGAAGACCCCGTTTCACCACCCTGGTACACACGAAGAGAAGAGAAAAATCTCTCACACAGCGCTCAAGCAAGCAAGTGCAGCTCTCACACACGCCGTTTGTTTGTGTGGCCTCGAATTGCCGTGCGCGCGAGCGGTCCCCAACGTGGGTCGTCCTCTTTCACTTTCTAACCGCCAAGCCGCGCGCAGGAATGCGCATTTTATTTGTCCACTTCAACGTACGGCCCCTTGCGCCTTGGAGCTTGGTCAGCTTTGTCTCATGTCTGTTTTTTCGTCTGTTATTCTCCTCAGTTATTCTCTTAAAATAAATAAAAAGGGTCAAACTCTGAGGGGGGGGAGGCAGTAGCCGGTACGACCCAATGCCGCCGCCCGCGCCCGGGGAGTCGGGCACGGGATCGCCGGGGAGGCGGAGTCAACAGGATCTGGCGGAGAAGACGGAACGGCGGCGGGGCCGCAGCCAAAGAAGGCGAGGAGGGGAGGTCGGGCCCCACAATCATCGCGTAACCACCGGAAGGCGAACAGAAGGGAGGACCGAGGGGAGGGAGGACCCCCCCTTCGGAGTGGGGCGTTAAGGAGGCCGCGCGCGGAGCGGTGGGGTCCAAGCGATGATGTCAGTGAGAAGTGTATGTGTTGTCGTACTAGTGTCTGGTGTCTACTAGCTCCGAGTAGAGGGGGCGTTCCGCTGCTAGGGGAAACCCGTGCGACGGTGTATCAGTCGCCTTATGCCACCGTTGCATATCCGGATATGCAACCCCTCGCGTCCCCCCACCCCTGCCGGCGTCTCCGCTTGCCAGGCGGCGGAGCCGCTCCATTCGTCCCAGCCTCCCTCGCGCGACCCAGCGGAGTCCCCAGTCGATCGATCCCACCGCCCAGGCGCCCTCCCCGCCTCGGGCCCCCCCTTGCTATAGCTTCCGCTCGAAGCACCAGCATCCTCCGGATCGACCGGCTATGGCACGGGAATCCTAGGGTCACTCCGTGGCACCGGCGCTTGAGGGCGTAGCTAGCACCATCTCGCGAGACCGACCACGCCGTTCTCCACAGCGCGCTGTCTAGCTCCCTCTGTGTCACCTCAAGCTGGTGTTGGTGTATCCGGTCTGTCTGCGCGACCCGAGTCCCCGTGCGGGGGAGCGGCCCCCGTGCGTTCTCCGTACGTAAAGCCGACTGGTTGGGTAGTAGTCTAAGTTCTGAGCCTCGAGGCTGAGCGGGTCTAAGTGTGACTAGTCACGCTGGGGTGCTTACGCGGTCTAAGATCAGCGAGAGCCTCTTACATCGGCTAAGTCGGCCGTGGCACAGCCTGGGGCCAAGAGGCTCCCACCGTGATCAACGATACGGCGCTAGCCCCCAAATTTTCTTCGCCTGCGGCGGGCGCCTTCTAATCCGGATCGATCCTCCTCATGCCTCAGCAATCGCCGCCTCAGCATCCTCCTCTTCCGATTCTCGTTGCTCTTCTTGAGCGCAATCTCTAGCCAAACATTTCTCACATAAATAGCCTCAAGCTCAAACAAACGCATGTCAGAGAAGCCTGTGTATGCTGGTCCTCTTTGAACGATCCGCGCGTGAGGTAGATCTAGCATAGGGCCTTGTTGGCAGCAGCCAGCTTGTTGCGCTGCTTCGTTGCGATGAGCTGATTGGGATCGCAGAAGTGCATGCCAAGCACCGCCACGATCTTGAAGCAGAACACGTCGCAACCGCATCGTCCGCACTGCCATCGGCATGCCGCGCCCGCCGCTTCGCCGCAGCCGCCTTAAGACACGCATAGCGGCAGCACATGCTACGGTGCGCGTACTTGAGCAGGAGTTGCGCGCCGCAAGTAGCGCACTGGCCCTGGGACAAGGCGATATGGCGTCGTGCGCGGCATACGTTGGTCGGGACGCGTCCAGGTATTTTTCGGGTAAACCTGGACTTTTGCAGGTATACCCGGGTTTTACCCGGATTTGGCCTTGTGCCGTCTAAGTTCATGGCCCCCGACCATACAGCGTCTAAGTCCGAGCCCGGCTCCGTGCGGGGGCTAAGTTGAGCGCTCGCTCGCTGCAGAGGCTAAGTGTAGAGCGACCCTCTAGGCTCTAGCCCTACTACCCAACCATTTAAAGCCGTAAAAACGTGCTCGCAGATCGCGTCTCGTTGTGCCTTTCCCCTTTCGCGTTTCGGAGACCGGACTCATTTTTGATCGTTTTCTCTATTCAGTCAAGCCCAACAAGAGTGCCATAGCCCCAAGAGTGACTCTCACCGGCTCGCCGCGCGCACACGGTCTCCACACTCCGCCGGGCGATGAGCCTCCACAGACGTGACGAGAGGCCGTGGGAGGGACGCGACAGGGCTGGGGCCCGGCTCGTAGCTCGTGCATTGTGCTCGAGCCGTTGGCGCTTAGGGGCGCCTGCCTCTGCGGGGCGGTGCGCCCGCCGGCGAGAGGGAGAGGCACCGCCGGTACACTCGCGAGGCGCCTCCAGGCTCAGTGCGCGTCGAGGCGGTGCCGCTCGGCCCACTCGCGGATGAGGGAGCGCGCCATCACGTTTGGTGTGAGGACGGGTGTGCTCGAGCATCTCCCCCGTGAGGGGGGG